TTTTTTTTGCTTTTGGTCTTCCTTTCATCCTTCTTTTCTTTCTCGGTAGATCCATCACAGATATCTAATAGCCGCTGCAATCTTGTCAAGTCCTGGTGTACTTCTATTTACAGAGATTATGATTTTTATTGCCTGCCTGTCTCTGGAGCTTGTGTCCTTGGAGAATAGAGAGGTGCTAACATTCATGTCCTTTCTTCTTTTTATAGTCGATTGTTCTCTACTGGTTTTGCTCCAGCTTCATGGGCCTTTCACAGAACTTGCTGCTGCGTTCTCCTAGGTTTCGTCGACTTTGCCGAATACCGTTGACAAAGGGAGATTCAGAGACTCCTTATAAGGACCTCTTTGCTGCCTTTTATGCCAAGTTCATTTCAAGAAAATGACATACTTTTTAGTAATTTTGAAACAGAAGTGTCACCATCACCTTAATATATTTAGAATATTTAGGAATTCAGATATGATTTAATTTGCCTTTAAAATGAACTCTGAAGTACTGTGGATTAAGATATAATCCAGATATATTTGAGAATACCTAAAATTTTTTAAGTGCTAGGAATGTGTTTAATTTTGTGCTGAGAATATAAATGTGGAATTAAAGTGTCCAGTTTTGTTTAGAAAATTATACCTTGTTAGGGATGGTAGAACTTTGGAGAACAGGACTAGATAGTGAATGATGTCAAATTGTACTGAATGGTCCCACACATTAAAATTTTTATAAAGTAATAAAGTTCAGTGAGGTGACTTAAAATTTTAGAGGTGTGGAGAATCATAGACCCATTTGACCATCTGATAAAGGGATGGTCAGAAAAATCCAAAGATTCACAGCATGGGGCCTTCATTGACCACCCCTGTGAAAGCCTGCTGATGATTCCTGGTTTAAAATTCTTATTCTGATGAACCATATATTGACAAGTTAATGTGTGATTTTAAAAAATGGGCTTGAGATGCATGGGGTAGAATAGTCCATGCATGCAAGGAAGTACCTTGTATGGTAGGTGACGTAGCCTCTCAACCATGCTCTGAAAGAATACAGAAAGTGTACATTCCTTTTCTTATAATTTAAGAAATCTGGGATATAAAGTAGGGAACTAAATACTGTTAGAGACCAAAGTGGGAGATCTTAAGCATTAAGTTTGTTCAGTCAAAGGAGGATAAACCAGAAGGATGGCTACCGATTATGGAGGTGATTTTATAAACCATTGTTTATTTGGAAGGATTAAGTACTCTAAGGGGTTTAAACTATGATAGATGTTTAATATAGGAAAAATTAACAGGTGATATAAATTTTGGACCCAGTTTGTTACTTGAAAAGGTGATAAAATTAATTCTGGTTGAGATATTTAGAAATAAATTTGCTAGGCATTTAAGATTATAAACTATAAATTTGCACTAAGTTGGAATATGAACCTGACTTTGAGATGCCCTATCATCCCATCTCATGTTTTATAATAAAATCTAACGTGAAATTAATTAGTCATTTCTTAGATGATGTCTGTTATATCTTAGCCATTTTGGTTACCATGTTACTGCAGCTCACTGAGAGTTTTGAGGTAGCATTTGACACTAACTTTTTTTCTTGAATTCCCAGCCCTGGTTTATGGCTGCCCCGTTGAGACAACCATGCTTCCTTATCACAGTAAAGGAATTGAAGCTTATGTACAGGCAATCTCATTATTCGCAGATTCCATGTTTGTCAATTTGACCACCTGCTAAAATTTATCTGTAACCTCTAAATCATTATTCATAATGCTTTTGATGTCATTCTTGGACATACACAGAGTGGCAAAAAATTTGAGTCACCTGAGGCACATCTTCCCAGAGAGGTGGGACAAGGCCACTCCTTGCCTTTATGTTTCAGCTCTCAAACTGTAAACAAATGTCCTTTTTGTGGTCTACTTAGTGCTTTGTTTTTTTTTCATCTTCGTAATTTTTGTTGCTGATTTCACTACTTAAAGTGGCCTCCAAGGATCATGCCGAAGTGCTGTCTAGTGTTCCTAATCATGAGAAGGCTCTGATGTTTCTTAATACCTGCATGAGATAAGCATCATTCAGGCATGAGTTCTGTTGGCCTTAAGTTCATTGTTAATGAATCAACAATACATTGTATTGATTTTTGACAAAAATGTGCCCAGAGGCTTGCGGGAATTTAACCCTGTGTATTCTTTAGAAGCAGTGGTCCAGTATTCACTAATTCAGTATTTGTGGTGACTTTATAGAACATAACTACCTCACATAACAAGAACTGATTATTTGCCACATTTACAATTAGGGACACAGAGGCAGAAATGAGTGCTGGTTGTATTACAGTAAAAAGAGGAGAGAATTTGAGAAAAATCGTGGCTATCTCTGGAACAAATTGGTCCTTGCTATGTGTACACAGATTCAGATATTTTTCTCATAATGGGATGGGGAAAATCAGCCCCCTTCCTTCCTCCTACTCAAAGAAATTTGTCACTTTCTTAAAAGTAAAAAATAAAGGAATGCTTGACTCCCCTTTTCAAATAGGAGAATCTTTCACGTGCATGCTTTTATCTTTTTCACTGTGATTCTCTTTGATTTCAGATGTACATTTGTATCTTTTAAAACGTATAATTTACCTAGTTTCCTATTACTCTTCCATTTTCAAACTTAAATTGCTTTTCAAATGTATATAATAAGTTTATTTGAGAATACAAGGCCTTTCCTTCCAGATCTCAAAATTTCTGGTAGGATTGGGAGTGGCTGGGATCTTGGGATATACTCATGTATAAATAAAACTGGTATGTTACAAACCAAGGTGAGTCAGTCACCTGACTTCAGGCTGGTAAATATTCCCCTCATTTCTTTCACCTGGCAGATTTTATAGTAAATAGTAAGTCATGTTTCAGAAAATTCCAAGTTTGTGGTCTTTGATCTTATTTTCCTAACAGTTTGTCATAGTCTGGAGCACTTCCAGAGCCTGAGGTCAGGGGAGGTTGGTCCTAAACGGATTCAGAGGACACACATGCTGTTAAGATCTCATGACAACTTGCTGTCTGGTCCTGGCAGAGCTCTGTCCTGGGCCCTGCAGAGTTCAGGAAATCTTTTGCCTTTTCAGGTGGGGACCATAGCCTATTTGTGCCCTTCCCTCCCCTGAAACGAAATCTTTTTTACTGTGGGCCTTTTTTTTTTCTTTTTTTTTTTTTTTTTTGTCTCTGGGCAAGATTCACTTTTTTAATGGGTATATCTCAGCCTAAGAGTCAGGAGGGGAGACTCACACCTGGATCAATTTGTATCATTCTAATATCCAAGCTCAGAAATAGATTAGGAGAAGGAACTGGCATACCCAAAATGATCCAAAATTAGTTTTCCCTGGGCTACTCTACTAAGATGGGGAGACATAGCAGCCCTACCTAATACATAGGAACAAACAGCCAAAATGGGAAGATGAAGAAACATGTCCCAAATGAAACAGAACAAAGCCAGAAAAAGAGCTAAATGAAATGGAGACAAGCAATCTACCAGATGCAGAGTTCAAAACACTTGTAATAAAGATACTCAGTGAATTTAGGGGAAGAGTAGATAAACTCAAAACTTTAACAGGAGGGATAGAAAACATGAAACTGAAGATACAAAATTAGTTTTCCCTGGAACCATCATGAGAGAAAACCTAAACATTCCTATCCTGGCCAGATGTCATAGGTGGCAAGATGTGGCTTACGGAAGAAAACAATTCTTGATTGCCACTCTCGCAGATAACCCTGGAGAGGTTGCCAAACTACATGAAGGACCTTGAATGAAAAACCAAACTTGGGGGAAAGCCTTTCCAGGTAACTAAAAGCACTCGAGAGTCGAAGACCAAACCCTCACATCTCAGAAGAGATATAGCCAGTCTTCCTAGACCACATAGGGGAAATTGGAGTTTTGGAGGAAAAAAAAATGGGAAAAAAAATTATACTCAAATAAGCCTAAGAAGTGTCTCTATTTTGTACCTATACTTAAGTTGCTCATATATGTCTTCACAGTTTCCTCATCTGAGGATCCCAAGAATCATCTTTTTTTTTTTTTTTAGGAATCACTTCTTAAATTCCTTCAATATCAAATTAAGCTCTCTGAAAGCAGTAGGAACTAAGACCCCAGAAAAATACAATGTTTTCTCCTCTGGGGTGATAGGTGAAGTTACCACAGACTGCAAAATTTGAAATCTCAGATATGATATTTAAATCATGCGAATGTAGATTTCTGTATTAAATAGTTAAAGCTTTATGCAAATGTGACATAAAACATGAAATTGCAATTATAATGGGCTATCATTATAGACACTTGTCTTTTATGAGCTGATTCTACAAGAACACATAATCTGGAAATTATCTGAATCTATAGAAAAATTTCTATTTGAGTCATGGATATAGTTTAAACTTGCAATTGATATTTTCTAGCATTGTATTTTTATTATGTATTATATATATACTCTATAAATCATTTTTTTGCTTTGGGATGTTTGAATTTGTGCAGCATTAAAATCAGCTATGTTTATCCAAACGTCTGAAATTTTGGACTTCAGTGTTTAAGGAAGTAAAATAAGAATATATATATTCATATCTATATACACATGTATATACATATACTATATATATATACACACATAAATTTCATCTATAAACACCAGGCAAAACCTAAAGATCTTGAATTTACATGTATTCTTTGCTTTTCATATGAAATATGAAGGTACCAGATATCTCCTTGAAAATGCTTTAAGAAAGTGAAAAACTAGGACTGGGATCAAGCCAATGCTTATTGGGAGAGTCCTTTAGACCTGCAAACCTTGACATAACCATAGATAACATTAAGTTGGTATGGGGATCTTATGTATTATAAAATTTGTGATTTCATATCTTGGAAAAAGGAGCAAAATAAATTTTAAAAGCTTAAAAGATCAGGATTGCATTTAGCAAATTTTAAAAATAATTATTGACTATGTGTGCATTAGTTTTAATGTTAGTGGAAATGAAATAATAGGAGAAGAATTGGCTTATTCAGCCAGAGAGCATGCATATGATTCTTGAACTTACTCCATTCAGTCATTAGAGAAGGTAGGTAGATCAAATGATTGTGAAATAAGATTGTCGTGGAGAATTCTGGAGACAGAGCTGTTTGAGCATTTTCCATCATCACAAAGTACAGTAGACCCTTCTATTAGCAGCTAAAAGCCACAACTTTCTAAAGTTTCCGATTGTCAGCTGCTGCCAACAAAGCAAACAAACAACTGAACCAAACCCTCAGATAAGGACTACACATAGCCACAGAGAGGGTGCAATTGGATGACTCTTGGACAAATTAACTTGGCTGCAATTCATTAGTGAAATGCAATCTAAAAGCAAAAGGAACTAGAAAATGTAAACTTTATTCAGTAGTTGTATTGCTCTTGTTAATATCACATTGTTATTTTGATACCCTTATTGTCAGATAAAATATATGTTGTTTACTAGGTGTATTAGTTTTCTGTGGATGCTTAACAGATTTCTTTATACTGCTTGTGCCACCAAGAAGAAAATATTATTGAATATATTTAGTAGGAATATTATAATATACAGTTGACCTTTGAACAACTCGGATTTGAACTGCACTAGTCCACTTACAAGTGGATTTTTTTCAATAAATATACAGTCAGCTCTCTGTATCCATGAGTTTCCCATTAACAGATTCAATCAACTGCAATTGAAAACTATTTTTGATCTTTGATTGGTTGGGAATCTGCAGATGTGAATCTGTAGGTGTGAATTTGCATGTGTGAATCTGGATACAAAAGGCCAATTTAAATTATATCCGGATGTTCCAGTACATGGGAGGTCCGAGCTCCAACCCCTGCATTTTTCAAGGGTCAACTGTAGGTCTTTCTCAAATTTTTCTTTTAAGATAGCTTTAGAGATTGCCACTGAGAAAGAAATCAGTCCCACTAAAAAGGTTTGTTCCTTCGCACAGTTCTCCACCCTGACACTCAGAAAGCCTAGCCTTCAAGTCTGTTTCACTTTAGGCCTTTTGCTATTTCAATTAAGAACTATATAGAAAAGCATTTTGGTCCTGTTCAATTCCCATTCATAGGAACCCTAAGGCCTGGCTGATACCTCAATAAAAAAAATGGCAGCAAAATTCCCAAGAATCAACTAGCTTAACCAAGAAAACACTTTCATACAGAGGCCTTGCCTAGTTCTTAGGACAGTAATTTTGTACTTTGCTCTAATTTGAACATGAGGGAGAGATGGACACAATCACCCAAAGTAATAGGTAACAGATAATGTGTTATTTTACTTTAAAACACAGATGATCCTCATTATTCACAGGTTCATATTTTTGTATTCACCTACTCACTAAAATTTATTTGTAAAATGCTCATGTGCTTTCGCTGTTGTTAGTAGACACTGTGCATGCATACTCTGAGCAGCCAAAAATATATAAATTGCCCAATGCACACATTCCCGAGGTGACACTCTGCATTTTTGTTTCAGTTCTCATACTGTAAACAAATGTTCTGCTTGGGGTCTATTTAGTAGCATATTTTCCTCTTTTTTATACTTTTCGTTGATGACTTCTCTGTTTAAAATGGCCCACGAGCACTAAGTGCAAGAAGGCCGCGATTTCTTACAGAGAAGGTACGTATGCTGGATAAGCTAAATTCAAGCATCACTTAGAGCACTATTTGCCATGAGTTTAATGAGAGCAATGGTTCAGCAATCACTAATTCAGTGTTTCCAGTGGCTTTATGGAACAAAACTACCATGAATAAAGAGAATTGATTGTACTTCAACCTATGCCATGTGGTATAATACACATGTAATAGTTTGAATAAGGGGTCCTCAAATTATGATCCGTTGGCCAAATCTGGCTTACCACCTTTTTTGTACAGCCTGAAAGCTAAGAATAGTTTTTACATTTTCAAATAATTGAAAAAAATGAATAATATTTTGTGACACCAACATTATATGGAATTCACATTTTAGTGTTCATAAATAAAGTTTTATTGAACCACAGTCATGTTCATTTGTTTACATATTGTCTATGGCTTTCATTCTTCAACTGCAGAGCTCACTAGTTGTGACAGAGACCGCATGTCATAGTGCTTCACCTGCTCAGCGCACAAAAGATTTCAGTGATGCAGTTATAACGTCAGAAAAAAAAATTGAGTCAGTTGCTTCTTTGGAAACTTAGATTGTTTCTAATTTCACAACACTGACATGAATATTCTTATTGATAAACCTCTGTACACACTTTTGATATCTGAATACACCCGAGGTTTAAAAAACTAGGCCACAATTCCAGCTGTTTCAAAGTTCAGACATCTTTATTTGTCTTAGAATGTTTTAAATAGATTTCTGGGTCTTTGAAGAAGCCTGGTGGTGACAGTTTTCTAATCTTAACTTTCTTTAACTCAGATGCTGTTTTAATCCATTTGGGCTGCGCTAACAGAATGCATAGACTGGATGGCTTATAAATAACAGAAATTTGTTTCTCACAGTCCTGGAGGCTGGGAAGCCCAAGATCAGATGGGGCGCCAGAAGGTTTGGTGTCTGGTGAGGGCCTGCTTCCTGATTCATTAACTGCTGTCTTCTCACTGTGTCCTCACATGGCAGAAGCTACTGCGCTCTTTCTTATAAGGGCACTGATCCCATTCACGAGGGCGAGACATTCATGACCTAACTGCTTACCAAGGGCCCCACCTCCAAATAACATCATATTAGGGATTACGTTTCAACATATGAATTTTGGGGGATACAAACATTCAGCTTACAGCAGATGCTTTTGGTTTAAGTAACTG